AAAAAACTTCCTAAATTTTGTGTAATTAATATTTAGCTATTTCGAAATTGTATTATACAATTCATAAAATTGTTTGAAATAATTGAATAAATAAACAAAATACTTGAATAAACGGTACAGTTAGTTGCATTCGTCTTAACACTAGATAGCCCAAAGGAACTTATTTCGACTGCTCTTTAATTTCAGTTAGAAAAACTATGATGTATATAATGACACAATTTCTTAGAATTTTGTGACATTTTGTTATGTAACTGTAAATAAAAATAATGAATCACAATAAATTAAATTGTAAAATAACTGAACTATTTTCAATAATTTTTTCGACATTAAACATAAAGGATTAAAGTTCCTCAATTTTATAACATTTCTGATAATGATTTCCTCCTTTACCGATTTTTATGAAATAGAGATTTTATATCAGAGACAATATTACAGAAATTTTTAACCTAAATTTAAAATATATTTTTCATTTTGTTAATAGAAAATCCAGCATATACCTCATTTACTTAGAACATTAATAAATCAAAATAATGTAAGAAAAGAAATTTCGTGCAGTGTATAGTGAATTGCTCTGTGTAAAGAAAATTAATAATTGTATTTTCTTGAATTTAGAATGCATCTCATATTTCTGAATTCTTGAAAATGAAGAAAATTAGTTTTAAAAGAAAAAAAACTAATAAACTCTATCATAAATTTAATTTTTTTTTTATAAGTATGTTTTATTTTTGCGCTTAAACTTTGGAATGTAAAAAAAAATATATTTCGAATTCTCTCTTCTATACTTAAAGCAACCTTTGAACGCCTACACGTTACTGAATAATGTTTCGCATCAAATTTGAATTTAAAGTTAGACAGTTAAAATTTAGTGATTTGATCAAAAATATATATTTAAAAATAAAATAAAATTGAATATCGACTTACTCTAATGTCATCCCATTATATGAAAAGAGGATAAAAAAAAATCCTTGTTTCCAATTAACCTGAAAAAACTGGGTTCGAAAAAAGAGCAATGACAATCCGAAACTTCAAGTTTCATATCTCGAGATATCTTTGAATGCCATAAATGACATGAAAATTTATGCATCGCATAAATATTTGATTGAATTTCATTCCCTCAAGAGACTCGTGAATTTGATATGTTGCTTTCAAATTCCTATTCCTTGAATTTATGGTAGTTCATAAAAATGTGCAGCTAAAAATATTATAAATAAACTTCCGTTTCAAATAAATAGTTTTGTTTAATGTTTTTTTCTTCAGAAAAAGCTTTATTTGTCAAAACAAAAACAAATATATAAATTAGATTTCTCGTTCTCAATTTGTCTTTTTGCATGGTTTCAGTTACCTTTATGCCTCATTTTTTTCTTTCTTATTTGTTTTATGAATGTGAGATGTTCCGTAACATCCCGTAATGTATAGTTTTAGAATCCTTGTTCAAAAAGTTAGCACACTCAATGTCGCGTATCAATATTTAAGTGACGTCACAAATGGTATTCTTATAATGTTATTAATACTCAATTTTTTATAGTTTTTGAAACTAACAGATTCCCATCTCTACCATTCTGAAATTTTACTGATATTTTTCAATAGTATTGAAGTTAATTCGTTTTAAGAAGAACAGTAACTGTTGACGCAAATGAAGTATATAAAGATTTGTTGCAGTTTAGAAAAAAAATAGCCTCAAACACCAAGTTTGATTGTGCATCAGTTCATGAAAATGTTGAAACTTTTGGTGTTGTCGGTTTTAGAAATGGTTGCAGAAGCTGAAGAAGCTTATTTAGATTGGCCAAAACCACTGAAAACATTTGCGGAAGGGCTCTGAGTTCTTGAAATAACAAGTATCAGGGGTCTGTTTAGAAGAAATTTGGGTCCGTGAACGGACCCTTCACAAAATATCTTTTCATAAAAACGGACCCTTCACAAAATATTTTAACTTAAAAACGGACCCTTCACAAAATATTTTAACTTAAGCAAATTTGTGAAGGGTCCGTTTTTATCTTCATTATTATTCTGTTATTCGAATAAACCCTTTCCAGGGCAGAAAACAAGAAAGATGGATGTAAACGAATTAAGTTTTGTCTTCGGCAGACGATTCTTCCATTATTCGTCCGAAATTAATATTCTGCGTTCAGTATAGGCTAAATACCAAATATTTGTATGTTGCATCTCTAATTTAGAAGCAGCAATTGTTGTTTATTTTTTAAAATTTAATTCTTTTAATTAAAGTTTTACAGTGTTGAGCATAATCTTGTATGTCTTTACAATTTAAAAACTCCTTGAAAAAGCTTTTTTTTGCAATAACGGACCCTATTTGCACAAATTCATAAAAGCGGATCCTGGTTGAAATAATGTGAGTAGTTTTTTCACAATTTCACGAAAAACGGACCTTTCACAAAATGTCTGGACAGACCCCTGAGTATTTTGTACTCCAGAGGTCTGTTAAGAAGAAATTTGGGTCCGTTAACGGACCCTTCACAAAATATCTTTTCATAAAAACGGACCCTTCACAAATTTGTTTATCCTCATTGTTTTGTTAATCGAATAATCCCCAGGAAGGGGGGGGGAAGAAAGACAGATGCAAACGAACTAAATTTTGTCTTCGGCAAGCGCTTCTTTTATTCGTTCGAAATTAATATTCTGCGCTCAGCAGTATTGGCTAAATACCAATTATTTGTATGTAGCATCGCTAATTTAGTAGCTGCAATTGCTGTTTATTTTTTGAAATTTAATTTTTTCAATTATAATTTTACAGTATTGAGCATAATCTTGTATGTCTTTACAATTTAAAAACTCCTTGAAAAAGTTTTTTTTTGCAATAACGGACCCTATTTGCACACATTCACAAAAACGGACCCTGGTTGAAAGAATGTGACTTAACGTTTATTTTATATTCACAAATTACGAGTAATTTTTTCACAATTTTACAAAAACGGACCTTTCACAAAATGTCTGGACAAACCCCTGTACTCATACGAACTTGTACGAAACGAGCAGCAATTTGTTATAAATGTCAGAAATTTATTGCTTGCGATTAAAAAAATGTTCAAACCAAAATTTCCAAGTTTTGTTTCATATGTAATTTTTTTTTGCAGCGTAAAAATATTTGCATTAAGTAGATAATTTTTTTTTGTCAATTAAAATTTTTTTAAAAAATCATAAATTTAATTATTTTTAATTCCATTACTTAATCACTTTTCATACATTTTTAAGCTATTTGATATTTTAAATTGATCCGCATTCGTCATTTTCCCACATAGATACAGTTCGTAATGAATAATACCACGAGAAACTATTAATCGAGATTCTACAGAAATTTTTATTATCTAGAACAGGGGTTTCCAATTTACATGAGGCCGGGGGCCGCAATTTAAAACAGCAGTCAAATGGTTGGTAACCACTGATCTAGAAACAATTAAAATATATATAAGGGTAAAGTATTTGTAACGAACATTATGGCAACCAAAATCAGATAGGTTGTGCATAAAGCTATGATTTCTTATACGTGATTGTACTTTTCTTTGTACCTTATCAACTGTGATTAATTCTGAAGAATCGACTGATAACATATGGGGGTATCCATTACCATGATCTTGTTATTAGGGAATAAGAACGTGACTCTTTGTTAGTGGAAACAAAGTCACACCCGTGGTGTAATATAACGTGTGTTCTGAATAGAAAGTTGTATGTTCTGTACCAATCTTTGCTAAAAAAATTAAAATAGAAAATTTATTGCTTAAAAAATTATGCATAACAAACTACACAAATTATATAATATTAAGAAATGCAAAGCCAATTTATTTAAAAAATAATGCATTGCTAATTTATTAAAAAAATGCGTAGCTAGTTTATTAAAAAAATGCGTAGCTAGTTTATTATTTCTAAAATAATGCATAGCTAATTTATTAATTCAAAAATAATGCATAGCTAATTTATTAATTCAAAAATAATGCACAGCTAATTTATTAATTCAAAAATAATGCACAGCTGATTTATTAATTCAGAAATATGCATCGCTAATTTATTACTTAAAAAATAATGCTTATCCAATTTATTATTTTAAAAAAATGCATCAAAAATTTATTATTTAAAAAGGCATAAATTATTTTACGAGAGTTCAAAAACTATGCATCATCTCAATTGAAACCCGAAACAATTCTTAGTTATCATTTTTCCGTGCGTATTAAATCCGTTTTTAAAAATTTCACATGCTATCAAACCGAATTACGATAATTGAATGAGAATTATACAATATATATTTCTTTCTTTAATTTTATGTTATTGTCTTTTCATTAATGCAACATTTAATTAATTTTTGTGTTAGATTATTTCATTATTTAGTGCGATTTAACTTTATAGTTATATACTGACGTCATAGTTTTTGAAAATTCTCATATATGTTTAGAAATATTTATAGAAAAAATGCTTTTAAAAATCCTATTTTGTCCAAAACTCACTCAGACCAGATAGCACTAACATAAGGTCGGATATAAATTGTTCTGTTAATTTACTAAAATTTAGTTTTTAATTTTAACCTAATTTTAATTAAAACTGGATATATTCACCTAACAACAAATGAAAAATCTATACGGATTTTGTTTTAAAAATTAATTTAAGAAAAGTGGAAAAGAAATGTTTTAGTGTAAGAAAACGCTCAGAAAAATTTAAAGTATATGTTGTATTTTTTAGTGAAAACAATTGAAAAAAGGTATAAAATATAAAATTTCGAGTGTACATGTTTTGAAACATAAAATGTTAATTATTTTTAATACCTTGAAAGTGTGTTAAAATATTTCAACGATGATTTTTGTGCATTTTTATTCTGTACCGCATTTTTCGAACTTTGTTTTTGAAAATAATAACTTGACCCCTGCTAACTAATAAGTGTGATGTCGACAAAATTATAGAATAAAAAAAAATTAACACTGGATAAACAAAACTATGTATTTTTGAATCGTACTATGTACTTTTGGAAATACTGTTTTGTTTTCTTTAAGGTATGGCTATTATAGAATTGAATATCTTGCCTGATATACGATGACAGGAACAGCAATGGGTCCCACTAAACTGAAAGTTTCTATAAAATAAAATCCTTTTTCTCTTGTTACTACAGGAAGATTTTCTCTAGTCCATAATGGCAGTATGATGCTGAACACATGGCTTAAAAATTTCGCTATCGCATACAACGACAACGATATTAACCAACCTATAAAGAAACAAAATTACTTTTTAAAGAGAGAAAACAGGAACATACAATTCATTCAAACATATAATAAAATGAACTGTTGTAAATGTCTTTGTGTGGCTTTGGATTTTACAAAGAGGCTGTGACTGCAAACTATTTTGGAATTGTAGTAAGTACTTCCCTACTTTAAGGAGACTAATTTCGTTGGAGAACTTGATTTTCACCTATGATCAAAGTGGTTTTGAATAAGAAATTGGCTTATATTAAAACGCAAGGGAATAATTAAGAATTATTTATTCATATTTACACGAGCCAGTTTGATTTCCCAAAACATTCTTTTTTTTCGAATTAGTTCGTTTAACCTACAATTTTTATTCCTTTTGAAAGCCAATATTTAATTTAAGAAAGGCAAAACTTTTAAATACTTGCAATGTTTTAATTGTTTAATTATCTTTTATTTCTTCTGAGAAATACATCGAAGTACATCGAAAATACGTCCCCTTCCTTTGAAACAACATCAGTGTTTCATGAGTGCGCATGTGAAAGTGTGATCAAAGTGATTATCTATTTTTCGTAGTGGCTCGTTTATGTGTTAGCTATATGTGGTTTTAAATACGCAATTTCTGTTAACGCTCAGCTGCAGCCATAGGGTCATTTTCAGAGCTTTTCAGAACGAAAAATTTATTGCGCTAGAGCCGTGTTACTATTCTCAACTAATGTAAAAAGTAGTTACCAGGAATCGCTACAAACTATTTTTTTTTTGCATCTATCGCACTACAAAAACACTATTTTTTAAAAATGAAAGTAGCACACTACACTAGAAACTACGTAAAAAAGTTGCGACTACAGTAGTTTCACTACTAGTAGCGCACTACTTACTACCACTGATCTTTTTTAAACAATTGCATGCCTATATATTTTTTAAAATAATTTAAGTGATAATTGTTTTTAATATTATTACGATTATTTATTCTAATCACTATTCATAGGAGTTTAAATATTTTCATTCAAATTATAATTTTTTTTTTAAATTTTGATCAATCCACCTAAAAAGAATCTGTCTAAAGATTTTTTTTTCTTTTTTCTTCTGGTAATCTGAAGATTTATTAAGAAGCTATTTACATTACAGACATTATAATTAATAATCAATTATACATACAACAATATAATTATAATATAGATATTTGTTGAACATCAATCATTGTAGTTTTACGTAAATTAAATTTCTTAGAAAACTTTGGGTATAAATTAAGCTTTCTTAAGTCTGATGTAGCCCAATTATATTTCCTCATTAGAGGTTGCAAATTATAATTTATGAGAGGAAAAACATAAACGTTATTAAAATCTAATGATTCGCGTTTGAGGAAAGCAAGAATAAAGATTTGAAACTTGTTTGATTGTCGAGAGAAACTTGTAGGTATTTCTTATAACTGTCTTTAAACTCTGTTTTCTCTGCAAATATGATAGATTATTTTTATATTTTCAGTTCCACACCCTTGCTTTGCATGCATGGTTAGATATTAATAAAAATTTTGCTTTTCTCGGGCCTAAAAATTAAATTGCTATCCATATTGTATATGATTTTTAGACATGTATTATGAAAACTTATTTTAAAGGTACTGTATTAATGAAGCCGATAATACAATACGACGCATTGCAATATAATCCCGGATGTATTTAAGTATGTACTTATTTATGATAGGTACAATATATAAAACAAAACAATGTGCTATTCCCTTCAATTAATTCCTCGTTCTGAAACTAAACTCTTAGTAAACAGAACAGGTGTCTCAAAATTACATGATTTTCCCACTCTCCACACTTTCCCTCTCCATTACCTTGGTTTTTCCCCACACCATTATATTTCCACTTCCTACTGAAACGTATTAATGTGGAGAGAAAAGTAGGATATTCCTTAACCATGGTAACAGAGGGGGGGAAGAAATGTGGAGAGGGAGAGAAAATCGCGTTGAGACATGTATTCTTTTTGCAAAAAATATAGTATCTGTCAGTCGTAACCTTTTACAAAAGAAATAACGCAAAATTCTACAAAAACTAATTCACCATTTTTTTATTCTTTTTCATCCCTCGTCCAAAAACCAAAACAAATAGAAAAATCATATCTATAATATCAAGCTTTTAGCTCGCAACATCAGAAAATGCGTGTTATTACATCACGTGACCCTGACACCTTCCCCCCAGAGTCATATTAGATCCCAAGATCGAATATGGCAAATAGTTTAAGGGTCACACTTTACACATAAACAAACTATGTTTCACATTCACCCAAATATTCACTGAATCTTAGGTTTAACTTAACACTAGGTATTTACTTTAATCACCTAATAATAATAATAGGAAAAAATGTTCAGAGTCTTATTTTAGTTTATATTTACAGTCTGGACAATGCATCTGCATTACTAAGTTTCGATCCTTTGATGTGACTTGCCTCAATATCATGGCGTTGAATGGCTAACGCCCATCTCTGCAACCTCGGGCTTTGGGGTGTCGCACTCGTCAGAAATACTAGGGGATTATGATCAGTTAATAAAATAATCTTAGCACCACAGAGTAAGGTTTCAAATCTCTGCAAAGCCCAAATAATAGCATAAGCTTCCCTTTCAATTGTAGACCATTTCTGTTGAGTTGAATTCAGCTTCTGGCTACCGAAAGCTATGGGACGAATATTTCCTTCTTCATCTAACTGACCTAAACAACATCCGACCGCATTTTGAGATGCATCCGTATGCAAGTAGTATGGTTTCTCTATGTCTGGGACTTGTAACTCTGCGATCTTACATAGCGACGTCTTCAATTCCTTGAATGCCTTCTCAGCTTCTTCGCTCCAAGGAATCTCATTAGGAACTTTCTTTTTAGTAAGCTCTGTTAGTGGAAGAGCAATCTTTGCGAAGTTTGGAATATACTGCCTGTANCCCGGGCATTTGTCAGTCGTAACCTTTTACAAAAGAAATAACGCAAAATTCTACAAAAACTAATTCACCATTTTTTTATTCTTTTTTCATCCCTCGTCCAAAAACCAAAACAAATAGAAAAATCATATCTATAATATCTTAGCTCGCAACATCAGAAAATGCGTGTTATTACATCACGTGACCCTGACAGTATCGTTAAATTTTATTAATTAAATAAGTAACAAAACTGAGTAATTAAAAAAATAATCTTTTATCGATTTAAAAGAAATATGTTGACTAATATATATTTTTCGATCTACTTCGTGAAAAATCCAAGCTACCGAAAATTTTCGTCTTCGGTTGGTACAGAGCTGGCAGTATGGATCGAAAAATAGGCTGCTTTGGAAGAATCTTCTACAGAAGATCTTGGACTACTTCGGCTGTTATGCCAAACGGGATAATATATTTTGTTTTTACTTGGCATTTATTTTTATAAAACATTTTGTATTTAAACACAAATTATTTACTTAACTAATCAAAAACTATCATAATTAAAATCAAAACAACTCAATAAACTAAACAATTCAATACTTCTGTCAGATTTATTACGATAACGTTAAATCATTCAATTTGCATTCGTGAAATTTAATTCACAATTGAGTGAATTTGACGATATTGCTTTTATTTTCTTATTTAGAAAAGGGAATTATTGAACATTGAAGAAGCAACATTTACGCCTTTTAACCCGGGTGAAAAGCCGTTTCCGGGCAAATGGTGAGAGCGAAAATAATTCACTAATTTTGACAAAAGACTATAGTAACTGACCCGAAAACCGGGCAGGAAGTTCATTATTTTGGCATCAAAATTGCGTCATGCTGGCACTCTTTACAAATAATTTTTTTTCGAACGTTAATTATGCATCTTAAGGATTCAAAATACAAAAGGTTTTCATTATTTGGCTTCTCTCGGCGTGTGTCCGCCATCTTCATTAACTATTTACTTTTATCAGAAAACAATATCGGCATCTTTTCGCTTAACCGGTTTTTCTTTTCGAACGTTAGGGCTTGAAAGGAACGTTAATATTGAGTCTTTAATGGGAAGGCGAGAACGCATAGGTGGGTTTGAAAGCAGGGAATAATAAAAAGGGAAATAAATCGATAAAAAAGATGATAAAATATTAATTATTTAGAAATATTTTCGAGCTTGCCTTGTTAAGGGCCAATTGAGATGTTCTCCATTATTATTTAAAAGCTTGTCAGTTTTCCGATTTTCCACGTCAATTTAAATAGGGCCTTCTCTTAATTATGAACTTATTATAACTGGGTATTGCTACATTAAAAATGATGCCCGTTTTCTAATTAATGATTAATATTAGCTTTCTGAAGTGAATTAATTTTTAAAGTCAACGTATTATTAAATCGTAAGAAAATGAATTTTTTTTGGATTTGTAAATTCTGAAGGATATTTCACAATTTTTAGTTTCGGTTAAATCAAAATACCCGGCTCCTTTTTTAAAAGCTAAAGTGGAGTTTTTATAAAAGCATATCTATTGATTTATTTATTAGAGGGGAAATAGGGTTTAAATTTATACTAAACCATACGCCTCGTAAAACAGTACTCAATAGCCTCGTTACTCTCAGAAAAAAAAACATCTAGGTACTCAAACACAGTTTTTACTTATTTCACTCACAGCACTGACTTTAGTTCACTTACTTACAACACTGCTTAGCTTTCTTGAGCAACAATAAATATGCTTCAAATTTTAGAAAAATGTATTAAGTACTCAAGTGCCAAGTTATTTTAATAAGGAGTAATGAATTCACATTATTTCCCCCCCCCAAAAAAAAAAACTAACAGGTGATTTAATTAAATTGCAAATTTTGTTCACATGGAATAATTTATCTCTTTAAAGAATTGATGACTCATAAAAACTGCAGATTTTAACTAGCAAATTCATATTTTCATTCAATACGGAAAAAAATACTTCGTTGAAAATAACAAGTATGGCCATATTTGATTTAAGTGCTCAAATACATATTTTATTTAATATAGTAAAGTAAATTTGCTTTGGTACATATTTAATGACTAAATTAAAAATAAACTCATTTGTATTTAGGTAAATACAAATTTTATTTAATATATTATCATGAATACGCCCCACAATTGTAACGGAAAAAAAAAGCTTTATTGAACAAAGACATGCTAAAACGGAATTCACTTAAAACCTATTTTTTTTTTACTCACAGCTGTTATGCTGCCCATATTCACTAATAATTCATGTTGCTCCTGTCATCTTTTAGAAAAAATTAGGAACTTAGCAAAATTTTACATAAATTTAAGAATGTTAAAGATAAGTGGTGATGACTCATTAACATTTTGCTTTGTTGATTCTTATGGAAGGCTTTTTCTTAAAGACTATATTCAGTAGCTCCCAAAAGTATTCGTTTGCTTATAACTTTTAATGAAACAGGGCTCTACTCATTAATTAAAATGAATATTTCAGAATGGATATTTAATAATAAGATATTTAATTTGTTAACAAAACTGCCTGAAATATTTTAAAAACAAAAGTTTGTATCTATTCTGAAATATTCATTTTGAAATAGCCATCAATGAATAGAGCAATATTTTATCTAAAGCCATAAAGTACGAACGCTTTTGAGAGTCACTGTAAGGAAATTATACGCGACACTATTGGAAATAATGCAGCAAATTAAAACTTTTAGACAATCAGTAATGTTTTAAAACTCTTTAACATTGTTGACATCTGATGAAAATTATCCATTGTAATTAAATCTTATTGTCTATGTTGCGCTAACAAATAGTTCTAATCTCAAAATTATTGTAAATAAGCGGTGATATTTTAAAACCATTTTACATTGATGACTTCGAATGGAAGTTACGATTCGTAGTCTTTATTATAAATAATTTTTTACGAAAATAATGCCGTGTCTCAATACAATTGAAGATCAGCAGTGAAATCATTTTACATAAAAATCAATCGTTGTTGACTTCTGATAATTAAAAAAAAACAATGTTAATAGTTAGGTATATTAAAAAATAGTTCTAAGCTGAAAATTATTGTCACAGAATGGGGATATTTTAAAACCATTTTACATTGTTGACTTCGAATGGAAGTTCTATTCGTAAAATCTTTATTCTAAATAATGTTAACAAAAATAATAGTGTCTCAGAACTATTGAAGATCAGCAGTAAAATTATTTTAAATAAAAAAAAATCAAAATCATTTTACATTGTTGACTTCTGATAACTAAGCGGTGATAATAAAGCGGTGCAAATAAGCTGTGATAATTTAAAACCATTTTACATTATTGCCTTCGAATGAAAGTTCCGATTCGTGAAGTCTTTATTCTAAATGATTTTAACAAAAATAATGCAGTGTGTCAAAACTATTGAAGATCAGCATTGAAATCCTTTTACATTGAAAATCAAAATCCTTTTACATTGTTGATTTCTGATAATTAAAAAAAAACCTATGTTAATTCATAGATCCTTTATCATAAATAAATAAGATTTTATGGCTTTTTTATGATTGACATGGTGAACAAGGAAAACAAAAGTCTTTCGTAAAAGAAGTGACATGCAAACATAAAAACATCCTTCATTCTTCCATTTATGTCAGAAGCGTATGTCGATGTACTAACGATGGAGGAACAGACCAGCAGATGCCAGAAGATTATTATCGTTGCCTGAAGGTGTTTGTCTTCGAGGCAATCAATAAATCCATGAGGACACTTCCCATATTGTCTTCTGAGCGAAAAGGGAAAACGATATCAGCATTAAAAAAAGAAAACGAGATTAAAGTGGCAAAGTTATTTGCATAGCCATTTTGTTTCAATTAGTATGCTAATATTTTCGCTTTGATTTGGATATGAATTTATTTTGAGGAAAGTGAGATTTTGAATCGCCCGCTTGTTTTGCCAAACGAAGCGAAAAAGTCATCAAATTATTTTGAAACTTTTCTACTAATTAGACGCTTTTTTGTGTCACTTTGTTTTAAATATTTTAAATTTATTTAGATTGTCATTTCAAAGGATATAGTTCTTTAGATACAGTTCTTTAACAAAGCAGAGATTTTAAAACTATCGTGGCAAAGGGTGAAAATATTAATATTATAAGTTCTGGAAAATAAATAAGGAATTATGTTTATGTTCTACTAATTAAGCTTTATTTATGTCACTTCGTTTGAAGCATTTTGAACTATTTTCTTAGCGTAGTTCTAAGGAAAATAAGAGAAACAAAAAGGTAAAAGCTAAAATTACCATAATAATAACTAAAAAGAATAAAAACCAGAGATTTTCTAAAGTAAATAATGAAATATGTTTGTTTTGCTAATTAGGATTGTTTTGTCATTTTATTTGGAAAATTTAATTTTTTGTGAGGGAAATAATAAATATATTTAAAGAAAAATTAAAAACTAGTTATTTTAAAAATTTAAATATTAAGATCATTCATATTTTTTGTGTAGTAAAAAATGAATTACGCTTATGATATATTAATTAGTGATTTTCTTATATCACTATATGTGTATGTAAAACAAAAACTTAGACCATGGAATAATACCAGAAACTTTATAGTGGTTCTTTCCCACAGGACCTTCGAACTAAATTTATAAATTTATCTTTAATTGATTAATTAAAATTTAATTAAAGTTATTAATGTAAAAGTTTTAATTAAAATATTTTTAGAGATAATCGTATGCGATTTATGTAGTACTAAATTACGGGACACTCAATACCTACTGTTTGAATTTGTTTGAGCTTTTCGATATTACTGCGTTATTATTTATTAACTTATCCCATGATATTTCATTCAATATTAATTTTTTTGATGGCATTGTATTTTCCAATCTCTTTTTAATATTCAGAAATTAGTGCGCACATCGGGGAAAAAAATAACGTAACTGAAGAAACAAAAAAGGTAACTTACTAAAATATGACGTATTGTCCCAATTAAAAAAAAAGGGAGTGCAAGTTTCTTAAAAAGAACACAGAAAAAAGTCTGCGCCACACAGAAAAGTAAATTATTTTACTAAAAACGTAACTTACTACAAAAAGTAACATTAAAATATGTCGTGAAACATAACATAAGACGCAGGTTTTTAAAATCAGAACTCTCATATCGTCAGCAAGATTTCTGTTCTAGACTCAATTCAAATTTTATGTTTAAAAAAATGGACACTGCACGAAATGTACAGTTAAGAGAATGGACTATTTAAAAAATTAGGTATACCATTCAAACTTGATTTCCCAACTTCTCTTATAAAAATTGTTCTTTTTTTAGAGAAAAAACCGAATGCATCGAAATAAACACCCATTTGCCTGAATTACTTTGTGCATTTTTTTTAAAAACTTATTTTTTTAAAAAACTTTTGTTATTAGGTTGTCTAGGGTTCTATAAATTTATAATAGTGGTATTAAATATATGTTGTTACAATTTAGATTTTTTAAAACTCTTTAATCCTTAAGAGGACGCCATACCGATGAAGAAAATTTTCCTCGCAAATTCTCTTTCTTCATTACTAATTTAAAATTTAAAGTGTAGAAAAAGGGAGTTCAGATAAACCTAGAGAAGTTTCAAACACTGAAAAAAAAATTCTAAAATATATACAAATAAAAATACATTAGGAGATGATAACTTAGGATTACGCAATGGAGAAGATCTCTTTTAATAATTTGTCTGCAATTTAATATTTTTAAGTATTTTTTCAGCTTACTCTAAGTTTGCTTGGACTTTTAAATTAGCAATGGAGAAGAAAGAGAATTTGCAACGAAAATTTTTCTTCCGCTGTGTGGCGTCCTCTTTAAGTGTTCTAAATACGAATAGGTCACCAGAAAAGTGTCCCGCAGTGGACTGACTGATCGTTAAGACACGGTTCCCAACAGATCACCGAAGTCAAGCATCACTGGCTACGGTCAGTGTGCGGGTGGATGACCACTTGGATCAGCCTGCGTAGGGACCGAGGGTGTGCGGTATGGGTCCTCGTTAAACTGTTCTATCGTAAGGTGCTCGACTTCGCGTGCTGGTCGTCGGGCTACCGAAGCGGGGGTGTCATCCCCTCTGCAGAGGATCAAAATTGTGATGGCATGTATTCGGATCATCCTCAGGGATGTTTCCCTGACCGTCGCCAATAGCCCATTGTGCAGCTCTAGTGCGACGTAAATGAACAGCAACAACAAGTCACCAGAAAAGTTGCACCTGTCTCAGCTAAGCCGAACCCAAAAGCAAAGTACTTTGCTCAGTAATAATTATGCTTAGTGTTTAAAAAAAAATGAGGAATAATTAAGTACGGAATTCCACATTTAGTTACTAAATTTGGGTGGAATATGAAAGACGCATTTTTTTTTTTTGCTGTCCCCATCTCTTTCAAAAAAGCGCATTTTGAACTGTGTCCAGAATTAGAAGCTCCCCAACGGTATTAAAAAAAATATCTTACCCGTATACCGAGAGGAAAAAGCTTGAAGAAGGCACACTATTCCACTTAAGGCACCAAATATGAATGTAGAACATCGACGTCCGGTACATCGGAGTAAAGACATGGTTATGATGACTGCCATCATTTCAGCTATGGCACACAGTGCAAAGTTCAGTTGTATACTCAGTACAACTGGCATGAACACAGAATAATAAGTAAGACCGATGCATGCAGTGGATGAGAGTGATCTGAAAGGAGAAAAACACATTCAATAAATATCACCGAATGGAAAATAAACTGAGATAGTATGGCTAGCAATAATGCATGGTCACCAATGGAAATTGTGAAAGCGATGGCTCTTACGTTTAATATGTAAATTAACTTTTCCAATGAGTTAAAAGTTTTTAAATTCCAGAGCTAGATTTGAAGAAAAATCAGATTCCATAAAATCTATTGTTAAAAATATAATACGCAGAGTACAGACAGTACAAAATAAGCTTATCTGCACTGTCTACGTTGTTGAATAGTTGCCCAAATAACAATTATAAAATTTAAATTTCATAGTATAACTTAAATATATTTATAATTCATAAGAGGATATACCATGTCATCCTTGATCTATCAAAAGGAACCTCTAGATTTACTAATTTTAGTGGTAGTTACGCCAGATTACTCATTTTCCAGAAATTTATCTGTGATAAAATTCGATGAACGAATACCGCTAGCTGATTAATGTTAATTTCTTATTTTTTTCACGCATTATTTTTCTTCTTGTAATTTTCTTTTTTTTCTTGTAAATTTCTTTTTTTTCCTTGTAAATTTCTTTTTTTTCTTCCTTGTAAATTTCTTTTTTTTCTTCCTTGTAAATTTCTTTTTTTTCTTCCTTGTAAATTTCTTTTTTTTTCTTCCTTGTAAATTTCTTTTTTTTTCTTCCTTGTAAATTTCTTTTTTTTTCTTCCTTGTAAATTTCTTTTTTTTTCTTCCTTGTAAATTTCTTTTTTTTTCTTCCTTGTAAATTTCTTTTTTTTTCTTCCTTGTAAATTTCTTTTTTTTTCTTCCTTGTAAATTTCTTTTTTTTTCTTCCTTGTAAATTTCTTTTTTTTTCTTCCTTGTAAATTTCTTTTTTTTTCTTCCTTGTAAATTTCTTTTTTTTTCTTCCTTGTAAATTTCTTTTTTTTTCTTCCTTGTAAATTTCTTTTTTTTTCTTCCTTGTAAATTTCTTTTTTTTTCTTCCTTGTAAATTTCTTTTTTTTTCTTCCTTGTAAATTTCTTTTTTTTTCTTCCTTGTAAATTTCTTTTTTTTTCTTCCTTGTAAATTTCTTTTTTTTTCTTCCTTGTAAATTTCTTTTTTTTTCTTCCTTGTAAATTTCTTTTTTTTTCTTCCTTGTAAATTTCTTTTTTTTTCTTCCTTGTAAATTTCTTTTTTTTTTCTTCCTTGTAAATTTTTTTTTTTTTTCTTCCTTGCAAATTTCTTTTTTTTTTTTTTTCTTCCTTGCAAATTTCTTTTTTTTCTTGTTATTTATTGGCCGGGAGAATTGTGCTTACTTTAGTGGATTTTTGAGAGCTATTTTGTAGGCAAATAAACTATTTAAAGTGTACCATTCATCAATGTTAGCGAGTTCATATCCAGTCGGAGGTGACCAACATGGGGGATATAATTACCGACTATACCGACCTTCATCGATCAAAAAGTACTTCAAAACAGAATTAAGTTAACATGTCTTATATACTAGAGAATCGGTATTTAATAATCTTAGCTGTAGTTACGCCACAATTAAACCTTAAGAATGACTAGTGGAGGGGTTCCAGCATATCGAGTGTCTGACAGCAGATAAGATTTCAAATAGAATATCGTAGAAAATTTTAAAAAAATCATACTTTATAATTTATTTTTGGGTAGCAAATTTATTCCATTTAGGCAGGAATTTCAGACATGCTTATAAGTTTGGGTTGCGATTTTAGACATGCTTATACACTTAGGTGGCAATTTTATACAAGCTTACACTTTTAGACAGTTATTTTATGCATCTTTGCCACCCGTTAACTGGCAAAATCAACGCGACTGAAGATTATACAGCCAGAAATTCTTATCAGCTGTAGTGCACTTACGCAGAAAAAATCCAGCTATTATAAGACGTTCACGCTATAACGTGCTATAACGTGCGTGCGCTATAACGTGCGCTATAACGTGCGTGTAAGACGCGAGCATTTGAAACTGAGTTTAAAAATTCTGCTTTTTCATATTTTATAGCTCAGGCGCTATTAAACCAGTTTCGATAAAATTTTGAATAATGTTTTCTAAATAGTTAATAAAAACTATTTATTTATTTTAAAATATTTCGAAAGTTTGTAAAAGTGAAACTTTTTGTACCTTACAATTAAAAAAAATTCGACATTTTTTTGAAGAAAATAATTAACAATTAATAAAAAAAAATATTTTTTCTTCGAAATTATCTTCGAGCGCACAAATTTTATAATTGTTGACTAAAATATCTTTGACTAGCTTAAAAACCTCCCAATACGATGGGAAATTTAATTCGCTAAAAAGTAGCATTAACTTAAAGCAGGGGTCTGTTTAGAAGAAATTTCGGACCCTTCACAAAATGATTTTTCTTTTAATCGGACCCTTCACAAATTTGTTTATCTTCATTATTGTTTTGTTAATCGAATAAACCCTTCCCAGGAAGGAGGGGGGGGGGAAGAAAGGCAGATGTAAACGAACTAAATTTTGTCTTCGGCAGACGCTTCTTCCTTTATTCGTCCGAAATGAATATTCTGCGTTCAGCAGTATAGGCTAAATATCAAATATTTGTATGTTGCATCGCTAATTTAGTAGCTGCAATTGCTGTTTATGCTTTAAATTGTAATTTTTTAATTATAATTTTACAGTGTTGAGAATAATCTTGTATGTCTTTACAATTTAAGAACTCCTTGGAAATGTTTTTTTGCAATAACGTACCCTATTTGCACAAATTCACAAAAGCGGACCCTGGTTGAAAGAATGTGACTTAACGTTTATTTTATATTCACAAATTACGAGTAATTTTTTTTAACAATTTTACCAAAACGGACCTTTCTCAATGTCTGGACAGACCCCTGCTTAAAGAGATCTAAGGTTTTGACAGTGTATCTAACTGAGCTATTGGAACCATAGTTACGAGATTGCAGCATCCGCTATTTCAAAGGTCAAAAACCCAAATACGTCAAATAAAAGTTATGCTTATTCAGAGAAAATATAACGATATAATATAAGGAGAATATAATATTACACTATAGCAATGTAATAATGTAACAATATATTGTATGAAATATAACAATAATATTTTGAGGAAATATAATGAACGTAACTTTGTATTTGATTTCATAGCTTAAAATATCTAGAATATTTTTGGCCATCCACTTGAATCATTAAAATGGACACTAGCTTCTGAAAATCCAATGATTAGAACAAAAGCTATTCAGTGTTTTCTTCACTATGAACAGAAAGTGCGGCGGGAGTTCTTCATATCTTTCAGATAATGAGTAAAATAATATTTGATACTCCCCCCCCCCTCAAAAAAATTAAAAACTCCGTTTGCCAAGAAAATATACCATATAAAATATATCACCTTAAAATATATTTTGTTTCATTTTGTAAACTTATTTTGATACTTTCAGAATAAAATTTAATATTAGCGGATTGAGATGTTACTCAAATAAAATTTCGCCGAAAACGAAGCCTGTTTAAACATGGCTTTCTGTTTTCAATCTTAAGATTTCGTGTGGGCTTCTTCACAAACAGAGTAGGGAATGTATTATAGTATAAAGGCACTGATGTTTAGACCGAGAGTAAAACAGAATTGTTTATTCGACATCGATATCTCAAACAAATATCGAATACATTCTGAATAAAAGCGAATTTTTTTACCGTTTTAAAAATACTCTTAGTTTTATGCATTGATTCTACAAAAACCGCGGGAAAATTACTTGAAAGAAAATCGTTTGGAATCTTAATATTTATTTCTGGTATTTATTTATTTGGTATATCATATGAGATTAATTTAAGGTTGTGTTAAAATGTGTGTAGAAATTGATTTCGAAATAAAAATGTTAAGTTTATATTTTGTAAATTAAAACTTAATGAAATCTCCATAAATATAGTCAAACGATTTTAAGGATTCTTGCTTTCCTAGAAATCTAAAAGAAATTTCGTTATCCACATTGCTTTCGAATTATGTAATTACAATGTCAGGACTTTTAAGAACAAAATTTCGTGAGGCAGACAAAAGTAAGACGAATTATGAAATAATGAAACATGCGACGCCAATATCAGGAAAGTCGCTTGTGTATTTTACTTTTATTTTAGTTTATTTTAGAACAGAACGGAGACTTATGTTTGAAGACTTTAAAATACCTTGTAGATGCATTCTAAGAGCGGATTAATAAATCAATAGGTTTTAGTTTATATTATATAACCTTTGTTGAACAGCCGACCTAATGCAGGGTTTACGGCTACTAAAGTTAAACTCCATAACCTTGTAATTTTGAATCCAATCCAGAAGACAAGGGAACTCCTGGATCAAGTATTGGGAGATATTTCCTTCGTTTAGGACTTTTTGTTGCAACTTACCCAGATTTCTGTTACATTGAGAGGAAAACCTTCCACGATTAGCCTGACGGCACGGGGACTCTAACCCATGATCCGTCTACCTCTGAGGATATATTAAGTCAGCACTGTGGTCAGTTCGAGCAAGTTGTGGAATTCGAATTGCACAGCTACCGCTGGGATCGAACCCGGGTCACCTCATTGGGAGGCGAGCGCTCTATCAATAAGTTTTTTATTTTATTTTATGACCGCCGTTGAACAGTCGACCCAATTTTTGGGTTTACGACTACAAATGTTCAACGCCGTAGCCTTGTAATTTTGAACCAATTCAGAAGACAAGGAAACTCCTGGATCGGTACCCCCAGAGGTATTGATTTGTTATGGGAACATGGAGGACTTTGAGACTCGACAGATTTAAAGTGCATCAGTCACCATTTACTACACGGGGAGTCTTCGATCAGCAGGGACCGAACCCACGAACTCTTGGACATGGGCCCGGCACCCCACTGACCAGGCTATCCCGGCCTAGTAGCGACAATTTAATTTTACATAGATTAACTAGCAGCGTTACATTACAGCCACAAAAAATGGACATCGACAATAACAGTACAATATAAAATAGCTAGCCACGTCACAGGTATTTTTTTCCCCCTTAATTTTTTT